ACACAGGCACAGGGAGAACATGCAAACTCCAGGCAGGAGGTGCCGTGGCTGGGATTCGAACCAACGACCCTAGTACGGCCAGGCGGAAGTGCTAACCATTTAGCCGCTGTGCTGCCCAATATAAAAAACAATTCCACTCTCTGTAACACTCTCCACCCCATAACTCTTGTGTGATATGTGGTACAAAAACATGCAAATATTATTATTATACAGGATTTATATACGCCAACAGTTTGCTCAATGCTTTACAATATAAAGGGAGACAATACAGCAACAATACAGTTCAATAGAAGAGGGATTTGAGGGCCTGATCCTTGGAGCTTACAATCTAGGATGCTTTGTTTTTCTGCTGCGCATTGGATTGCATTGCAGGTCACCACACAACACAATGCACTACAGTGCAGAGACTTAAATGGAGCGTTAAGCTGGCCAGAGATGGTTAGCGGTGAACTCAAACAGAATCCTCTATCCACACAAAAGAGATGGATGGAGGAAATTCAGCCAGTCAATCCTACCAGCTTTACTGTGTACACTCTCAATAAAGTTAAAAGAAAAAAAAAATGAAACCAGTGCAATGTGCTGAAACAGCAGATCGCACCACCCAGCAAAAATAGACACCAGCCTGCACAATAAAATGTGATTTAGGATGGAATTGTATTATTATTATTATACAGGATTTATATAGCGCCAACAGTTTGCTCAGCACTTTATACAATAAAGGGAGACAATACAGCAGACAATACAGTTCAATACAAGAGGGTTAGGAGGGCCTGATTGGAGCTTACAATCTAAGATTTATTATTTTTTCATTATACAGGATTTATATAGCGCCAACAGTTTGCTCAGCACTTTACAATATAAAGGGAGACAATACAGCTACAATACAGTTCAATAATACAAGAGGGTTAGGAGGGCCTGTTCCTGGGAGCTTACAATCTAAGATTTATTATTATTATTATTATTATACAGATTTTATAGCAGTTCAAACAGTTTGCTCAGCAACTAAGATTTTTTTACAATATACAGGATTTATATCGCGCCAACAGTTTGCTCAGCACTTTACAATATAACAGGAGACAATACAGTTCAATACAAGAGGGATAGGAGGGTCCTGATCCTGGGAGCTTACAATCTAGGAATATTATATGCAACCCTGAGCAGGTCAGAGAGTCTGCACAGTTCAACCCATGCTTTCCAAATTGTATGCTGAGAATGTAACAGCAAAAAGGAGGACTTGCTGTACCTTCTTTTCTGGACATTTCTATTTCGAAAGCTAGCTTTGTGGATGTCATCTAATTGCTTTTGTACTTTGTGGCACTGACCTGAGACAATATGCATACCAGATTATCATTTTGGATGGAGCATGGGAGGTTTAATACCCCTGTCAGATTTTTTTACACATCTGTGTCCCATTGTGGAGATTTCCCTTCACTTCCTGTTCCATAGCCAAACAGGAAGTGGGAGGAAATCCTGGCAAATTAAGGGAATTCCTTGGGGACCCCCAGGTCACTTGAACTGGTGTCCCCATTGGAAAATTTCCTCTCTATTACTTTTCTGAAGACAACCGAAAATTTGGGAATATTAGGGAGAATCTCCCTAACAGGGACACAGCTATGAAAACTGACAGGCGCTATAATCCCTCTCCACTCTATCCAAAACTCAAAAAACAAATGTAGTGAGGTGTGTGCTTGTTCCAGGTCAGTGATTCGGAAAGTACTGGAGCTGCAGACTGCCAGGCAATTAGTATTCTTAGAGATCAGAATCTATACTCCTCTCTGTACATGGTTCTCTAAATAGACCGTCCTCCTTTTATTCAGTGTTCTGTGCCATAGGAAGGGCAAGTTCATTTGTAGTACAAGGTACTATGCAATAAAGGGACCACAGTATTTACAAAAAAAATAAAATCTTCATTGGAGGAAGATCAAGCTTACTTTAAAGTAGGGGTCCTTAGGCATTTAAAACAAAGGGCCAGTTTACTGACCTTCAAATATTGGGTGGGCCGGACTGTGGCCAGTGGGAATAGAAAATGCTCTTGCATTGATGAGAGTAAACAACGACATAGGTTTGGTGGTCAGTTGGGATAAAAAAATAAATTACGTTATTGGTGTCAGTAGGAGGAATTGTGCCCCATAATTGGTGTAAGTGGGACAATTTGTTCCCTGTCTCTGGTGTCAGTGGGAGGAATAGTGCTCCATCATTGGTGTCAGTGGGAAGAATAGTACTCCATCGTTGGTGTCAGCGGGAGGAATAGTGCTCCGTCGTTGGTGTCAATGGGAGGAATAGTGCTCCATTGTTGGTGTCAGTGTCAGCGGGAGGAATAGTGCTCCGTCGTTGTGTCAGTTGTCAGCGGGAGAAATAGTGCTCCGTCGTTGGTGTCAGCGGGAGGACTCGTGCCCCGTCGTTGGTGTCAGCGGGAGGACTAGCGCCCCGTCGTTGGTGTCAGCAGGGGGAGGACTAGCGCCCCGTCGTTGGTGTCAGCGGGAGGACTAGCGCCCCGTCGTTGGTGTCAGCGGGAGGACTAGCGCCCCGTCGTTGGTGTCAGCGGGAGGACTAGCGCCCCGTCGTTGGTGTCAGCGGGAGGACTAGCGCCCCGTCGTTGGTGTCAGCGGGAGGACTAGCGCCCCGTCGTTGGTGTCAGCGGGAGGACTAGCGCCCCGTCGTTGGTGTCAGCGGGAGGACTAGTCAGCGGGGAGGACTAGCCCCCCGTCGTTGGTGTCAGCGGGAGGACTAGCGCCCCGTCGTTGGTGTCAGCGGGAGGACTAGCGCCCCGTCGTTGGTGTCAGCGGGAGGACTAGCGCCCCGTCGTTGATGTCAGCGGGAGGACTAGCGCCCCGTCGTTGGTGTCAGCGGGAGGACTAGCGCCCCGTCGTTGGTGTCAGCGGAGGACTAGCGCCCCGTCGTTGGTGTCAGCGGGAGGACTAGCGCCCCGTCGTTGGTGTGTCAGCGGGAGGACTAGCGCCCCCGTCGTTGGTGTCAGCGGGAGGACTAGCGCCCCGTCGTTGGTGTCAGCGGGAGGACTAGCGCCCCGTCGTTGGTGTCAGCGGGAGGACTAGCGCCCCGTCGTTGGTGTCAGCGGGAGGACTAGCGCCCCGTCGTTGGTGTCAGCGGGAGGACTAGCGCCCCGTCGTTGGTGTCAGCGGGAGAAATAGCGCCCCGTCGTTGGTGTCAGCGGGAGAAATAGCGCTCCGTCGTTGGTGTCAGCGGGAGGACTCGTGCCCCGTCGTTGGTGTCAGCGGGAGGACTAGCGCCCCGTCGTTGGTGTCAGCGGGAGGACTAGCGCCCCGTCGTTGGTGTCAGCGGGAGGACTAGCGCCCCGTCGTTGGTGTCAGCGGGAGGACTAGCGCCCCGTCGTTGGTGTCAGCGGGAGGACTAGCGCCCCGTCGTTGGTGTCAGCGGGAGGAATAGCGCCTTGTATCCGTGGAAGGAGTAGTGCTCCAAGGGCCTGATAAAGGCAAGCAAAGGGCCACAATTTGGGGACCCCTGCTTTAAAGGATAATTGCTACCCAAGAATCTAAAGGATGACCATTCTCCATCTTTCTGACAAACAATCTCCCTCTGTCTCACAACACTGCACATTGCAGCGTTTTCTCCCTCGCCCTGTCACAACAGCCCAGCTGCTACTGATGTGAGGGGAGCAGACTGCGCATGCACGGTTGTGAGTGAGGGAGAGCGCTCTTTCCTTAGATGTTTGGGGTGCACCTGACAGAACTCACATCCTGGATTCTGTGAAGGGTGCAGCAGATGTCACTGAATAGAAGTTTTCTGACCAGGATTTCGGGAAGTAAGGTTTGGCCTACAGGTTTATCATTTGAAGTAAGCTCAGTTTGTCTCCACTCAGGGTTTTTGTTTTTGCTAATACTGCATAGTAGATTTAATTACTTCGGTGGATGTAGTATCCTTTGTAGGAATAAAACCAGTCCTCCCAACATCCTTTATGTGCAGTAAAAAGCTTTCATCTGCTTGGCACCGTCATCCTGTTGCTGAAGTGAGTGGTGCCTAGCAGATAGTGACCCCCACTCTTCTGATGTGACTGCAGGGTCCACTGCATGGATGCCAGGGAGCAGATTGAGCAGCAGCACCATGCTGCATCTGAGCCTTGACATTAGAGATTCTAAGAAGGTGAGGGGAAGCAATACAGGAGTTTTGCTATAAAGTACACCATTATTTTAAAGAACGCCAATATTGAGATTAGTTGTAAACAGTTACTTTGGGCCAGCTTGGCTGAAACAGATTTTCCAAATGTCACCTCTGTGTGTCCGAAAATTCTCTGTTTAGCATAGCCTATGCTACATACAGGAAGCTGCATCCTCTGGGACAAATTCCCCCAGACACAAGCAGTCTACTCTTTGGGCATTCATCCCCCAGTACATACAGGAAGCTGCATCCTCTGGGACAAATTCCCCCAGAACACAAGCAGTGTACTCTTTGGGCATTCTTCCCCGAGTACATACAGGAAGCTGCATCTTCTGGGACAAATTCCCCCAGAGCACAAGCAGTCTACTCTTTGGGCATTCATCCCCCAGTACATACAGGAAGCTGCATCCTCTGGGACAAATTCCCCCAGAACACAAGCAGTGTACGCTTTTGGCATTCGTCCCTGAGTACATACAGGAAGCTGCATCCTCTGGGACAAATTCCCCCAGAGCACAAGCAGTCTACTCTTTGGGCATTCATCCCGAGTAGATACAGGAAGCTGCATCCTCTGGGACAAATTCCCCCAGAACACAAGCAGTCTACGCTTTGGGCATTCGTCCCCGAGTACATACAGGAAGCTGCATCTTCTGGGACAAATTCCCCCAGAGCACAAGCAGTCTATGCTTTGGGCATTCGTCCCCAAGTACATACTGCCCTAAAAGTCGGTACCACGTGGTGGTCCAGACACAACAGCGGTCAAACTCTTGTAGAGTCTTTCAGTCTGCTGGCAGCAGGGCTGGACGGGGTGCCCTGTGTCTTCCACCTGCACCTAGATACTTGATTTTCATGCATATGGGCTAAATGCGTAGTGCAGGGCTTGAAATTTCCACTCGCCTGCTCACCAATGGCGAGTGGAAATTATGGTGGGGGCAAATGTGTCCCCCAGGGCCGTCTTGCTGAGCAGGCTCGGAGCTCAGGCCGGATCTGTCATTGGTACTGGAAGCCGTCAGACTGCTCAATAGCTGAGAGCAGTGAAAGCAAAGGAAGGAGTGTGTACTGTGCTCTCTGCCTCCCCCTAGAGTGCAGTACCCGGCTCTGTGAGTGAACAACGAAGTACTGCAACTTTTTATGGGTGGGGTGGTGTGTGTGTACGTGTGTTTGAGTATGCATGTACAATTGTACGTGTCTGTGTGTATGCACAAGTGTCTGTGCATGTACATGTGTGTGTTTGTATGTACAAACATGTGTCTGTGTGTACGTGTCTGTGTTTGTATGTACATGTGTCTGTGCATGTGTATGTACATGTATCTGTGTGCATGCGTGTCTGTACGTGCCTGTGTGTGTATACATGTGTCTGTATGTGTGTGTGTGTACATGTGTCTGTGTGTGTGTGTGTGTACATGTGTCTGTGTGTGTATGTACATGTCTGTGTGTGTGTACAGGTGTCTCTGTTTGTGTGTGTGTGTGTTGGTGGCGAGTAACTCTTAAGGCCTGGCTAGTAGCTCAGGACTTGAAATTTTAAGCCCTGGCATAGTGTACAGAAGGCCTTAAATATGTCCCACGGCTCCTAGGTTTTGCAGCTCTTTGAATGTATTACAAGAAAGGCCCTGTGATATTTGGCACTGTTTTCCTGTTGAATTGTTGACATGTTGTTTAGTCATTGATGCAGTTGTTACATTGAGCAAAGATGGCACAACAAGTAATGCCGTTTAGTTTGAACTATTGTTTGAGATTAAGATGGAATTTTTATACTGAATAGAGACAATAATGAGCTCTCCATGCAATCGCGGGCATTCATTATTTCACAGACAGATATTCCAGCTTGCTGGAAAATCTTCCAGGGTCACTTGCAGTTCTACTGTCCTTTATGGTCCTATGGAGAAGAGTGAAGGGGTAGAAGGTGTGGGCATGCACTGGCCTTGTCTTTGGGTATGCATCGGGACTCGTTCCAGTCATACAAGGACAAGCAGATACCTGTGGAAGGTTTTTTTTTTTCCTGTCTTCAACTGGGGTTAAGGTTATTACTTGTGTAAAAGTGCATTTACATTGTTTGCCTAACACAGGCATTTACATGAGTCTTCCCATGGTTACAGTTTAATATCTGTGGACATTTGAAGAATTCTAGATTGTGTCATACACAAGTGGTTTTCCTCAACTCTTCAGTGTGACACCGTCACCTATAAAAAGTGTGAGGTTCCTTCACACCTCATCAGTAGAGCGGCCCTGTCCCACACAGAGAAACACAGATTCACTGCCACGGCATAAAGGCATTTAACTCTTAAACTTGAAGGAAGTAGCCTAAACACTGATTTTTTGGCCTTTTTTACGTTCGTTCCCTCGTTTCCACGACCGTACTTAAACGTATACCCATATGTAGGGCCATGTTTACCTGCACAGGATACACAGGTGTTCCCTGTATTCCCATGCAGGCAGCCATATTCATGTCAGTTGTTACCTATAACAATACCACCTCCCTCCCACTCCCCCTCTCTGTTGGGGTCCCCCAAGGCTCTGTCCTCGGGCCCCTTCTCTTCTCCATCTACACTTCCTCCCTTGGCCAACTCATACACTCTCACGGCTTCAACTACCACCTTTATGCCGACGACACGCAAATCTATCTCTTGACCCCTCGCCTCACCCCTTCAGTCTCTGCCCGAATCACCAGCCTACTGAACGACGTATCAGATTGGATGTCGCTCCACTTCCTTAAACTGAACCTCCCCAAAACCGAGCTCCTAGTCTTCCCCCCCCCCCCCCCCCCCAGCCTGCGTACCCCCCCCCCCCCCACTGACTTCTCCATCACGTCCAACCATGCCACCATCAAGCCCACCATCATACACAAGTGATTTTCCGCAACTCTTGAGTCTGACACTGTCACCTATTCTTCTGCCAGTGTCAGAATAAACCGATCAGTGGCTGTAGCTAATTGACTTCAGCCGCTGATCAATAGAACATTTTCCTTTCAACAGAAGTCAGTTAAACAGGGATGATGATCTGAGTTCCTGAAGTTTCAGATTGACTCTTGTATCTCCGTAACATTTTAATAAGGCTGTATGAGTAGATATTCAGAAGGTTCTAAGCTCAGTGGCATATTTATAAAACTAGGTGTTATCCAGGCTCCGTCCTGTGCCACGATTTCATCACATATGCCCTTGTGTTTGGCTGCGTTTTAAATATTTGCCGAAGTATGCCTACCTTTATATACTACCTTTTGTACCACTAGCCCCTCCCTCCTAGATTGTAAGCTCTGAGGATCTCCTATCCCTCTTGTATTGATCTGTATTGTTGTGTATTGTCTCCCGTTATATTGTAAAGTGCTGAGCAAACTGTCGGCGCTATATAAATCCTGTATAATAATAATAAGTATGGAAATTAGATTTTTAGGCTAGAATCCTCATATATAATGTGTTTATTGTGTACTTGAACTTGAGGTTCATTTCCAGGACTAGCTTCTGAGGCTTGTTCTTGAAACGTGTTAGCCTGTTGGAGATCCTATCTGCCCTGTCGGGTAACACGATGAATCATGGATTGGATTGAGCTGTTTTGTACGATGAGCTTTTGAAAATTGCTGTCTTGTGAGTATACTACTTACCACTTTTTAATAATAAATGAATGTTTTAAGCATCATGCACTAGGCCTGTGCGCCCTCTGTCTTGCTTTATGGGGACAGTGTTCCTAGACTCCCCCAGTCGTATGAGGGTAGCAAGGCGTGTGCTATCCAAGCTGATAAGGATGTGTTTGTAGCCAGTTGTCTTCTCAAGTGCAGGAGAATTAATTATTATTATTATTATACAGTATTTATAAAGCGCCAATAGTTGGCTCAGCGCTGTACATTACAGAGGGGGACAGAACATGTGACAGAACAATACCAATACAATGCAAAACATGAGGGAATTAATGTTGTGAATCTATCTGGGTGGATTCACAACATGAACTGCACCCCTGTGATCCATAGTAGGGCCAAAGAAAAAAAAAAAGCTTTGGCCGACCATGCTGCTTCTTTAAACGATCTGTCACAGTGCGTTTCTTGGGTCCCATATACCCACTTCTTTAGCGTCTGTGAAACCGTATTTGTACCAACCACACCAAGCCTAGGAGGCCTACAGATTGCCTAAAGCCAGCCATAGATGGTTCGAATCTCAGCTGGTTCAGCAGGGACCGGGCTGAGATTCGAACCATAAATGAGCAGGCTGAAGGTACCCAAGTTGATCGATCAACTTGTGTACATCAGGCTGTTGGGTTTTACATGCGATTAGTGCTAGCGGCTAATGTACCGGCTAGCAGTCATAACTGTGTTCTCCCAATGGGAAATCAACCCATGGTTGCAGGAAAGGAAATCGGTCCATCTATGACCTGCTTTAATGGGATTCCCGTAAGGAAGGGGAAAACGGTAACACCTTTCTTCTTAGGATGGTCACACTTCTCCCTTGATTCCCAACCAATCTCACACATTCATTATAAGGGGGAGACAACACCTCAAATTTTATGAGCATGGACCACCAAGCAGCACGGATAGGCATCTGCTCAGACAAGTATAGCAGCACCAGATGCCCATCGGCTTAATGCAGTGCAAATTCGGGTGTGGCACACACAGTGCGCAAGAGCGGTAAAGTGTAAATGGACCCTCATTGAATGTCCTCTAGTGATTACTGTAATTTTAAAGTTCTAAAAGCAGCTCTTCATGTGTAGTAAGGGTGTATTTTGTCCGTACCCAGGAGATACATGCCCACCTCCCAGTCCTCTGTCACAGGTACTCGCACTATGTCTTCTGGGCCTAATTACACTTAATGCTAGGGGTTTGTTTAAGACGACGAAAATAAAACTCGCTGGATTTGTCTTTGCAACCTTCTGAAGTTAGAAGAATTGGCAAGTCTTTGAAAATAGAGAGGAAAACAGGTAATGTCCGCTGCAGGAACACCAAGTCATTCCTAGCCCAATCTCCATGAAGCCGGTAATGGGGCTAAATTACTGAAGGAGCGCAGAATTTTCGCACAAATTTTGTAAATATTCACTTAAATTATCCGATCATTTACAGATGAAATAAGAAGAAATTGCTTTTCAAATGATTAGATCAATGAAGTTAATGTTCACACAATTTATCACATGAAGATTCTCAACTCCACACAAATCAACCTCATTGTGTCATTTGAAATTCTGCACCGATGTCTGATTTTGTGCTATTAATGTACGATATTGTGGTAATGTCTGTTCCTGCAGCGTCCGGCATTGCATCGTCACTTGTGACATAAGATCCGAAATGTCCCAGTTGCCACAATAGTCAGGGCTGTGGGATCTGATTTAGACAGCTGTTTATCAACACTGTATTTATCCTTGGATTGATTAGCAAAACAGTCACATTGCTGGATTGAAAGAGGAGCCAGGTACGTTTCTTTTGGGGGGGGGATTGTTGCTGGGGGAGCTGATCATGGAAGTTTTTTTTACCTTGTTCCTTTTCAACAACTTTAAGGTACAGCATGGGACAGTTTGTACAGTAGGTTTTTAACTGACCCAGTGGTTGCAAAGGAACAAGGTAAAAAAACTTCCATGATCAGCTCCCCCAGCAACAATCCCCCCACCTTCCCCCCAAAAGAAACTTACCTGGCTCCTCTTGCAATCCAGCAATGTGCCTGAGAGCCACCAGCTCCTTCTTCTGTCAGTCAAGGAAGGGGTAAAGCATGGGGGGCGCACGCACCCCCATTTAGGGCACCATTGTAAATGAATGCAACATCCGTTCAATGTGCTTTGATAATATGTTGAACCTATGTTATCATGCATGTCTTTGTAAAACCCTCCTACTTTCTGCTTTAAAAATTGCAGTATCTCTTTCCCGTGCTGTATAAATTGATTTCCCTTCCATTCCTTGTTAATTGAGTGAAAGCAATAACCAGTAGCATATGGAATCAACATTGCATGTTGAAATTGAGAGAGTCTATGGGATCTCTTTATAATTGTTTTCACCCAAGATTCACAGAACTGGGTTTGGAAAATGCATGAATCTTGGATGAAAACACATATAAATAAGACCACTTAGTGTCTAAGGTCATCCTTTTAGCCCTGGTTCACACTGAATTTGCAGCGAATTCTGCACCGCATCACAATCGCACCACGTTCATATGAACCGATGCGGGTGTGTATGTTAACTTAACAACACCCCGACATCGGTCCACAAAACGCAGCGCGGTGTACAGAATCGGATCGCATAGGTGTGAATACCCATGCGATCAAAAAAAGGGTCCTGCTCATTTTTGGCGCGGTGCGAATAGAGCCATACAAAATGTATGGTTCTGATCGCACCGCATACAAAATCGCATGTGAATGCGATGCGGTTCCTGTGCGAATCACATGGGATTTACCGCACCGCTGTAGAGTGAACCTAGGCTCAATCTCTGCCCAAAAAAAAAAAAAAATCGGCAGATTCAAATCA